GAATTTACGTTACACCCTTCACATTTCTTACATAACAAGCTAGCCTTACATTTAGCAAAAGCTCCATTTAATTTGCTACATTGGAAAGTTTCATACTATTTGCAGGAAAGTCAGGAATCAAACTGGATTGGACTAGGCGGCTCAAAATAGCCCTTGGTGCAGCTAGAGGCGTGGCATATCTACATGAACTTGCTAATCCTCCCATCATACATAGGGACATTAAATCGAGCAACATATTATTAGATCAGCGCCTCACTGCTAAAGTTGCTGATTTTGGTCTTTCCAAACTTATAAGTGACAGTGAAAAAGGCCATGTTACCACTCAAGTCAAAGGGACACTGGTGAGTGCTTCTATTCACCCACTTCAATGGGATGGTAAGGTTTAATTAGTTTAGTGACGGTTCTTTACTGTGCTAGAAGAATTTGATTATGCTTGTGGTTTTTGTTATTGGTGCAGGGGTACTTGGATCCTGAATATTATATGACCCAGCAGCTAACTGAGAAGAGTGATGTTTATAGTTTTGGGGTGCTTTTTTTGGAGCTGGTAACTGGAAGAAGACCAATAGAGGGAGGGAAGTATATTGTAAGAGAGGTGAGAATGGCAATGGATAAGACAAAAGACTTGTATAGTCTTCGTCAGATTCTTGATCCAGCCATTGTAGATGCAAGCCTGAAAGGATTAGAAAAGTTTGTGGACCTAGCAATGAGTTGTGTGGAAGAATCAGGAGTTGACAGGCCTACGATGGGTGAAGTGGTAAAAGAGATTGAAAACATCATGCAGATTGCCGGGATAAATCCCAATGTTGAGTCAGCCACAAGTTCGTCAAGTTATGAGGAGGCATCCAAGGGAAGTACCCTCCATCCATACAGCGATGAGTCCTTTGCTTATAGTGGTACATTTCCAGTTTCAAAAGTTTGAACATGTGTCGAGTGTGATTTTAGTTTAGTTTTGGAGAATTGAACGGCTCCTGTGTCTAATATTCAGTTTGATGGGAGGACATATATATATATATATGTATGTATATGTATATAGATGTGTTTTTGTATTGTTTCTCTTTTGTTTGCTCAATTTGATAGAAAATTGGAAATTTTTGTCATTGTGTAGAAATAGGTATAATACTTTTGGAGCTCTGTCTCCTAATTTTATTTGTGGTGTTTAAGTATTATTATACTCTCAAACAAAGAACTATTTCTTTAATAAAAAAAAAATCATTTGGTAAAGAAAAAATTAAACCAAATAAATAAAATAATGGAAAAAAAAATAAAAAAAATTTCTCTTACTTTAATTTTAATTATTTATCTTATCACTACATTTATTAAAGATAATAAAAGAAGTAAAAACATAATAAAATTTGTCTAAATTGTTAAAAGTTTGTTAATTTTCATTTTAAATTATAAAATAAAAACTTTTAAATGAAGGAGACCTTCAATATAAGGTACTATCTCTTATTGAAGTATTAATATTTCATAATATGACATAATTTGAATTCTAAAATAGTTTTTTTTAAAAATTATTCATCTATAAAGAGAAAGTTAAAAAAAAGAGAGGAGATTTTAAATTTGAAGGGAGTTTGTAGTTTTACAATGGTTCAAGATTTTTTTTACTAAAATAATAATAATAATGTAATGAAATGAAACAAGAACAAACCCTACTCTTTATTATTATTATTATTATTATTATTATTATTATTATTATTATTATTATTATTCACTTTGGTTCATTGTCTCTGTGAGGCTCTGGGTCTAGGGCTGTATGGTGAGCATCAAATAATCAAATAAGTAGATGGGTGGAAGCCCCCCTCTCACATTGCTACACTAATTTTTATTTTTTCGCTTTTGCCCTTCAAGTTTTCTCATTCTATTTTACAAGTCATGAGAGGTTTTTCTGTCATTTGATACCAAATTTTCATTTTTGCCCTCATAACTTTGTTTCTCCATTTCACCTTTTATGGGGGCATGTTTGTCATTTCGTGACCTTTTCCCATTATGCCCTCCTTTCTTTGTTTCTCCATTCACATGTTGCAGTGGTTTTTAGGTCATTTCAACACAAACGCAAGTTGATTTAATCTAATTTCCATTTACACACTTAATTTTGTCTGCCAAAATGAATTCCTTTAGTCGTCGATCATTACATTATAGCAATGGTTGAATAGTAATGGTTTCATCTTATAGTTTTAATCAATTTTGGATAGGAAACTCTTTCCTAATTTTGAGATTTGAGCAATTGATTGAATAGCAATGGTTTCATCTTATAGTTTTTTTTGTATTTTTTGTGATCATTTCCTTATTTATATTTGATTCAATCTTTAAAGTTTTGATCTTCAATCATCGGTCATGGAAGAGGAAAGTTTAAGTTGGATTTTGAGATGTGAACACCTGAAAGGAAAGATAAGGATTTTGTGGTCTTCAAAATCTTGCACTAACTCTTCTTGCACCAAAAGAACAAGGGTAGTGGCAAAGTTCGTAGGCCCACGAAAGGGATAGGGAAAGCTCGAAAAGGTCTGTGCACCTGAGCAAAGTGATATTGAAGTTGTGGCAAGATGCTCTGTCTTTAGTGGTAAGAATGGGGAAAGGGACGAAGATCTACTGCTGGTTTCAAAGAGGTTAAGAAAGAGAAAGAGACAATGTAAGATTGTCGGTCGAGACTCAAAGGGAAGAGATTATTGTCGATCATGAAACTTCTTTGATGGTGGGCATAAGTCAAATTTGATTGAGATCCATTGAAAAAGTGGGAAACCCAAAAGCATGTGAGAGAGTGCTATTGGGAAGAATGTGGAGAGGAGCCAGTGATCAGATCTCCACCAATGGTATGGTGAGAGTTTTTTCTTTTTTAATTTTTTTTAAGCTTTTTATTTATCATTTTCTCTTTGGTTCAAGCATGTGGAAGATCGATCATCTCAGTCATTGTTGGATCTATGTGTTGAGTTGGCATCTCCTTTGTTAGATTTGGTTGGTCGATCGATCTTGTCTTGTTCGATTTGGTATGTCTGTGATTGTGTTTTACTTTTGTTTCTAACTCTAATTGTTTCCCTTTAAATTCTTTTACACATTATTTTATTATAGTTCTGCATTTAAGTGTATTCGTGTTATTATGTTGGTTGTAATACGTGATTTCTTTGTCTTTGTTTTTTTAGTTAATTGTATTATGTTATTTCTTTGTTTTTGTTGTTTTACCTATAATATTCAATTTATTTGTTTTTGTTGTTTTGCTTTGAGCTCTCTTGATTGTAATAAGTCATGGGGATGGCTACATATTTGATAATAACATGAAATCTGTTCAAGGATTTAATTCTAGATCTTTCAAAGCTCTCGATCTATGGCTCAACATGCTTTTTTCAAAGTTTGCCATACTGCTGCATCTACTCCTGCTGCTTCTATTCTTGCTGACGTCAAGTGATTTCGGCTTTTTAGGTTTGTCTTTTGTAGTCATATGGTGGGATTAGAAACATGAATTGTCATCTTCCATTCATGCTTGCTGAAGGCTGGCTTTCTTTTCCCTTTTCTAATCTGATCTTTTCTTACTCCAAATCCTTGCTCATATTTCATCCAATTTTTTTTTTTTTATTTTCATGGTTAACTTGCACTTTAATGGTTGTTAGCAGTTTGGTGGAGGTCATTAAGGTCGTTATTCTTATAATTTCTCCTCAATTTGTCTCTTTAATGACTATATAAGGTGGATAAAATGTTAATATTGCAGGTTAATTTTCATTTCTGGGTTTAATATGATAACATTTTTTTCTCTTTCCTCAAGATTATTCTAGAAAAATTGCAATTGTAATGGATTTTTTTAATCTCTTTCTATTGCATTTGGCACTTATAGACCCTTCCTTCTTTGCTATCGTTCTACAATTCTTAGCACCATTACCAGTTAATGACCATGGATTTTTTTTTTCTTTTCTTTTCTTTTTTTGCTTTGTTTCATGGGTTATATGAAGAAGCTTATAAATTATAATAAAAATGGTCAACATTTATTCATTTGGGGTGTGCATCTTTGAAATTAGCTTTTGATATCTAGGTAGTAAATGCACTAGCTCAAATCTACAAGAAAGTTACTTTTGAAAATTACCACTCAAGTTAAAGGGACACTGGTGAGTGCTTCTATACACCCACTTCAATGGGATGAAAGGTTTAATTAGTTTAGTGACAATGCTTTATTGTGCTAGAAGAATTTGATCATGCTTTTGGTTTTTGTCATTGATGTAGGGTTACTTGGATCCTGAATATTATATGACCTAGCAACTAACCGAGAAGAGTGATGTTTATAGTTTTGGGGTGCTTTTGTTGGAGCTGGTAACTGGAAGAAGACCAACAAAGGGAGGGAAGTATATTGTAAGAGAGATTAGAATGGCACTGGACAAGATGAAAGACTTGTATAGTCTTCATCAGATTCTTGACCCAGCCATTCTGGATACAAGCCTGAAAGGTTTAGAAAAGTTTGTGGACCTAGCAATGAGCTATGTGGAAGAATTAGGAATTGACAGGCCTACAATGGGTGAAGTGGTAAAAGAGATAGAAACATCATGCAGATTGCCGAGATGAATCCCAATATTGAGTCAGCCACAAGTTCATCAAATTATGAGGAGGCATCCAAGGTAAATACCCACCACCCATACAGCGATGCATCCTTTGCTTATAGTGGTACATTTGCAGCTTCAAAGGTTTGAACATATGTTGAGTTTGATTTTGGTTTAGTTTTTGGATGATTGAACAACTTTTGTGTCTAGGATTCAACTTGATAAAAGGATATATATATATATATGTCTTGTATTATTTCTTATTCGTTCGTTCCAAATTGAAATGGATAGATGATTAAAAATTATTGTCATTGTGTAGAAAGACGTAAAATGCTTTTGGAGCTATATGTCTCTTAATTTTATTTTTGGTTTTTAAGTATTATACTCTCAAAACCATGTCGACAATGTATTATTCTCTATGATACTTAACATGAAGAGCTATTTTGATTTTACTATATATTGTCAACTTCACATATCATCTTAGCTGAGATTTCAATTTCTCTGTTTCTGTTTTGTGCTATTGCCTTCTAATTTCATATCTACTATCCTAACTTCTGTTACAGACTGCCTTCACTACAAAGAACCTTTTCAGTGACAAAAACAGTTATAGGGAACACTTAAGAGATTGCCGAGGAGGCTAAACGCTCAACTAAGGTTATTAAGTAAGTGAACTATGTTACAGATAAAAGTTACCACAACGTGCATTGAAACCAAAGAAGAAAAACTCATGAATGCAGCATTTTCATTTCTAATGGAATCTATAGGAATTTGATTTGAGAATGGGAATATATTTTCTTATAACTTTAACTGGAAGATCATAGGCTTTCAGCTTTCAAGGAATATGTGTGGTTACTTACATGAGGTGATTTTTGCAGGCTGAGGGAGCTTACACTTAAGGGGATGTTGAATCAGTTGTTAAGTTGAAGAGACTTGACATTGATATGGCAACCTTTGATGCATCCACGATGGAAAATTTTCTACAAGGGTGCGATAAGGAGAAGTCAGTGAGATACCCTACTCAGCAATTGAATGACTTTACAAGCAATTACTCGAAAAGGTTGGGGTCTGGAGCATATGGGGATGTTTATGAAGGGTGGTTTCCAAATGGAATCAAGATTGCGGTGAAGTTGCTCAAGGAGAAATATGAGGGAGCAACAAAAAAACAATTCATGGCAGAGGTAGGCACAATTGGAATAACAAATCGTATTAATTTGGTTAGATTTTATGGTTTCTGCTATGATAAAAGTACAAGTGCACTTGTATATGAATTCATGGAAAATGGATCGCTTGAGAACTATTTGTTTGTGAAGGAGAGGATGATTGAGTGGGAAAAATTACATGTAATAGCAGCGGGGACAACTAAAGGAATTGCTTATTTGCATGAAGAATGTCAACAGAGAATTATTCTCTATGATATAAAGCCAGCCAATATTCTACTTGATGCAAACTTCCTCCCTAAAGTTACAGATTTTGGGCTTGGGAAGCTCTTCAAGAGGGACAATATTCATGATTTAGTTACCGGGTTCAAGGGAACCCTTGGTTACTTTGCCCCAGAGTTTTTTTTGAGAAATCATCCCATAACTTATAAATGTGATGTGTATAGTTTTGGAATGTTGTTGTTTGAGATAGTTGGGAAGAGGAAAAACAAGGTTAGCAGTTCCTCTGAAAGCCTTGATTGGTTTCCAAAGGTTGTGTTGGATAAGTACCAGAAGGGCGAATTGGCTAAGCTAATTAAAGGTTATGGGATTAAAAAGGAGGATATGGAAAAAGGCAGAGAGAATGTCAGTAGTGGCATTGTGGTGTGTTCAAGACTCACCAGGAGCTAGGCCACCAATGAATGCCATGGTGAAGATGCTGGGAGGAGTGGAGATCATGCAACCTCCTAAACCCACTCATTTATTGTTTTCATCGTGGGGGACAAGTGTAGTCAAGCCACCAAATGCTACTAATGGCTCGAGTTCCTCCTCGAGTGAAGAATCCATGTCTTATTGGTATAAAAAGACCACTTCAATCATGGCCAAGCATGAAATAGTAGTTAACAAGACTAAAATCCAGTTTCATACTTTGGTGGCATATCCATCGCTGAACTTGCCAATAGCAGCAAATCTCTCCAAAGTGATAGAAATTGTTAGTCTATATTGGTCAATGTATAGTTTATCTGATGTGGTACAACAGGTTGACTAAGGTTAGTCAACGATGTCCATCAAGTTCAAGGAGATTTGCCCTTTTTTGTAAATTGCTAAGTGGATTTGCCGCCAAACTTTCATTAGGGACGTATTTGCTAGTAAAAATTATTTTATGGGGCTTATTTACCTGTTATTCCAATATAAAATAGCTATCGATTAGCAGTTTTTGTTGCTGGACCAAAAAAAAAAAAAAAATTAACGGTTTTACTTGGAACTCTGTGTTAGAAAATAATCAATTTATACTCAAGGCCTCTTTTTTATATTAGAAAAGTTCCACCTGGATTTTTGGCAACTATGCAGTATGATCAATGCTATACTGCTAAGTAAATCATGAACATGATTATATCATAACTCAAATTTTAGTAAAATTTTATTTTTATTTTTATTTTAACTAATATGTTTTGTCTTTGTTTTACTTGTTAGGTTTATAAAAAAATAAGAGGGGGCAAAAAGGAAATTTTATGAAGAAGATTGGAAAAGAAGATGAGAGAAATGACTCAATTGAAGAAATGAAAAGTTGGAGGGGTGAAATGCAAAGTCCAGCCCAAAACCCATCAAACCCAAACCAAAACCCAAATTCAAATCCAATTACCCAAAAAAAAACCCAAAGCCCACCAACTACCCAAACCCAATTACCCAAAAAGCCCAAAATCCCAAAACCCATCTAACCCAAACCCACCAAAACCTTCTCCTTCTTCTTCCATTGTTTTACTTTTCTCTTTCCCGAACCACCCCCTTGCTGCCTGCAACCAACCCTGCGCCCTTACGCCCCTGCTCCTACGCCCCTGTGCCCCTGCACCGCGAGCCAGCCCTGCACTGTGCTTCCTCTCCCGTCTGCACTGCGCCCAGCTCCTGTGCACCGAGCCATCATCGCCCCCTCGCACGCCCAGCCTTGCTGCACCAGCCCTGCACCTATGCCCGAGCCTTGCACCTACGCCCCTGCTCCCTGCTCTGCGCCCAGATCGTCTGCACTCTGCCCCAGCCTGCACTCTGCTGCGCCCGGCCTTGCTTCCTGCACCAGCTTCTGCGCTCTGCACCAGATCGCCTGCACTTTGCTTGCCTTGCTGCGCCCCACTGCCAGCAATGATGCCCCTGCACGCCCGAGCCATCATCAGCACTCCACGCCCCTGCCTCCCTGCACACCGCGCCTCACCCCCAATCCCGCGCCTCTGCACCGCTGATTGCTGTAGCCCCCATCCTTGCCTCACATGCAGAAAAGACAAGGAGTACCGGACAAATTGGCATCATTGATTGACAGAGCAAGGCCCTTGTCTTTTGTTGCATTTTATTTTTATCATTTGGGGTATATATATAGGGCAAAAGCAGAGTAATAGGGGGGTGATGGTTGGTTGATTTTGGGTCTCTTTGTTGGGGAGTTTCGTCTGAGTTTTTGAGAGCAATAGAAGGGGATTTACTGGAGAAGAAAGGGGGCAACAATGGTGGTTGAGAGGAAGGATCACCGGTTTCATTTTCTGGGTTTCATTGCTGAAGGTATTTTCTGAAACAGAGGGATTTTGAGAAAAGGTAGTGAAGGAGACGAACGGAGCCTAATCCCGTGGGTGGATCCCTCCTTTCCGATCTGGACCTACCTCCTCCTAAAAATTTCGTCGTGAATGTTTCTGTTATTTTCTGTTGATTTTGTTTAGATCTGTGTTTAAACTTGTATTTAGTTGTTGGAAAATGAATGGGAATCAAAGATTGTTCTGTTTATTTTACCTGACAATGTGTTTCTTGCTGAAAATGAGAAGTAAAAAGATGAACTCTAAATTTCTCTTCATGTCGTTTGGATTTCGGTTTTTGTTCAAGATTTTATCTGTTTTGTGTTTATCTATTTGAAGGATTGTGTTTTTGGGTTGTGTTTTGTTGCGGGTTCGATCCAACCTGATCCAGTTAAAAAAAAAGTTAAAACAAAAAAATACATATTAAGTATGATTAGTAATTAATTAAGTTAATTAGTTTAATTCATGATTAAAGAAATTAATTAATTATAATTAAAATAAATTAATCATATTTATTTGACTTTAATTTGAGATTATTAAATTTATTTAATGATCTTAATTAAAGGGTAATAAATATGATTATTTAATTTTAATTAATTTTAATTAATATTAAATTAATCATTTAATTAGATTATTATTATTATTATTTTTTTTTGAACAATGGGGGAATTCTTTGTTTTTTTTTTCGGGGAAGGGGGAGGGGGCTTGGGATTTGATCCCAAGCCTTTTTAGTCCTAAGCACGTCCCTGCACAGGGGTGGCCATTGGGCCACCAAGTGCTGGACATTTAATTAGATTATTGAGCATAGTTAATTTACTTAAAATCATTTAATTTCTTTTAATTTGATCAAAGTCAAAGTTATCTTTTATTTTTATTTTAATTTCACCCAAAAATTTTATAATCAAGCAATTTAGTTCATGGTCTCAACTCTTTTCAAATCAATCCTTCATGTTTTGAATTTAATCAAATCAGTCCTTTATCTTTCGAATTTTATCAAATTAGTCCTTTTAATTTTTATTTATGTTCATGGTGCATGCATGTCTTGATTTTGTTCATTTTAGTCCAAAAATTTAAATGTGTTTCAATTTGGTTTATCTTTTTTTTTTTTTTTTCAAGTTTGTTTATTAAGACTCAAACATCAACATGATGAATAAGTTGAATCGAAACCCCCAATGTTAAAGTATGCAATCGTGTTTAAACAGAAGATTGTGAGGTGCGCGTATAGCCTTCCTCACTCCTAACCGAATCCTCGAACCCTGATCTCTACGTAGACTCGTTTTAGGTGATTTGTCTCACCTTATAATTTGGACGGGTGGCGACTCCCCTTCTCTTTTATATTTTACAATTTTTCATTGTTTTGAAAAATCTTAAATGGTCGTCAACAGATTAACATAATCAATTTAACTTTAAATTTTTGTGACTTTAGTAGGTTATTACTGAAACAAATTATAGATTTGTCAACTTTCCAACATTATTGTTCCTTTTCTCAAATTTATATTTTTTTATCTTTAATTATTATCCATGTTACATTACATTACATGATTATTAAAGTTTCAATCTTCAATCAATTACAAGTTTATGGGGAAGTCTTCCCAATGGAGAGCTAGTTGGGATCAAATGAGCTTAGCAAGGATCAATACAGGGTGGGCTGAAATTCAAAATAGAGATTGAACTTTTATTTGAAGTCCATCATAAGAATGTTGTTTGTCTATTAGGATTTTGTTTAGAATGAGGTGAACAAATACTAATATATAAATATGTTTCAAACGACTCTTTGTATGAAAGTTTATAAGGTATGTTCCTCTGTTTCTTCCGTTCTTGATCCAACATAAATTATTGAATGAGTTATGTAGCTAGACAGTATTTCCATAATTTATATATACTAATTGTTGAAAGAGTAAATAATAAGTCTCTATTGTTGAAAAAGAAAGAACAACTCAAAGGCTTTCTAAATATAACCTAATAAGAAAGATGATCAGAATAAAGATTAGTTGAATGAAAAATTATTTAATATTATTTTTTCACAAAATATTTATTAATAATATTTTACTTTTCTTTTTTTAGTAGTGTTTTTTTACTCATTATGCATCTTCATTTTATCTAGCAATTAACTATATTTATGTATCTTTATCGATCATTATTAATTTATTGTTAAAAATGAATAAATATTATTTATAATTAATTTTTAAAAAGTTTTCT